TGGGGTTGAAGGTTTACGTCGGCAGAGTCTTGCTTCGCGCCCAGCCGGGTCGGAGAATTGGATCAGCCGCATGCCGAGATTGAGTCACAAGAAGGGCCCATGATGAGGTCAAGACCTACAGCCTACGCCCTAAACCCTATACCTACGGGCTTCAGGGTTAAGTTTCGGGAAAGCTGACAACCCACGACCTGAAGTTGAAACATCTGTAGTCCAGGGTTGAGGGGTTGGGGGTTGAGGGTTTACTTTGGTGTAGGGTTCCGGCCCTAAACCCTGAACCCCAAACCCTAAACCCCAAACCCCAAACCCCAAACCCCAAACCCCAAACCCCAAACCCCAAACCCCAAACCCCAAACCCCAAACCCCAAACCCTAAACCCGTCAGGGTTTCAACCCCTGTCGACAGGAGGCTGCAGCAACGGTGCTTCTGCTTCTGCCCATCAAGAAACGATGCCGACGGCAACCCGCCTGGAAGGGACCCGTGGGATCCTAGAAGCTAGAGGCTTAAAGGGCTCTTTAGGGTTTAGGGTTTAGGGTTTAGGGTTTAGGGTTTAGGGTTTAGGAGGGTTCAGGGGGGTTCACGGTTTAGGGTTTTGTCGCCCAAGGCTCCTTATACTGCCTACTACTCCCTAAGGCCCCCTAAGCTTCCCTAAGCTTCCCTAGGTACCTACCCCCCACCCTAAACCCAAAACCCAAAACCCAAAACCCTAAACCCTAAACCCTAAACCCTAAACCCTAAACCCTAAACCCTAAACCCTAAACCCTAAACCCTAAACCCTAAACCCTAAACCCTAAACCCTAAACCCTAAACCCTAAACCCTCCCTTAAGTACCCTCTAGAGGGTTCACGGGTTTAGGGTTTGCCCCCGGAAGCCGGCTTTTGCTGCTTTGGGGGTGTAGGGTTGAATCGTTAAAGGGGGCGAAGCATATTTTGGGTTTTTGGGTGAAGTATTGCGCCACAAGATAGAACAAATAAAGCACCCTAAACCCTAAACCCTAAGCCCTGAGCCCTAAAACCCTAAAACCCTAAAACCCTAAAACCCTAAAACCCTAAAACCCTAAAACCCTAAAACCCTAAAACCCTAAAACCCTAAAACCCTAGAACCCTAGAACCCTAAAAACCCTAAAAACCCTAAAACCCTAAAACCCTAAAACCCTAAAACCCTTAAAACCCTAAAACCCTAACAAAAACAAACCCTAAAAACCCTAAACCCTAAAACCCTAAAACCTCCAAAACCAAACCCTCAAACCCTCAAACCCTCAAACCCTCAAACTCAAACCCTCAAACCCTCAAACCCTCAAACCCTCAAACCCTCAAACCCTCAAACCCTCAAACCCTCAAACCCTCAAACCCTAAAACCCTAAAACCCTAAAACCCTAAAACCCTAAAACCCTAAACCCTAAACCCTAAACCCTGGCCCTCGCCCTAGCACTCGGAAGCCCCCCCAAAAGGGGGCCGGGGGCCCAGGCATTGGAAAGGTGGTCTAGGAGGCCCTCGCGGAGTCAGCGCAGGAGGAGGAGGAGCAACTTCCTAAACCCTAAACCCTAAACCCTAAACCCTAAACCCTAAGCCCTAAACCCCTAAACCCCTAAACCCCTAAACCCCTAAACCCCGAAACCCCGAAACCCCGAAACCCCGAAGCCCCGAAGCCCTTCGGAGGCTTAGGGGGGTCGTAGCTGGTTTTTTCCAGAGCCCTCAACCTGAAAACCCGAACCCTGAACCCGTAGACCCGGAATGAGGGAATGAGGGCCCTATATATACCCTTTAAGGGATTATATAGGGCCCTCATTCCCTCATTCCCTACTAAGAACCAGCCAGAGAATCCGCTCTGGCGTTTGATAGGTCTCCGGGGCTTCTTCTCTTGGGATTTGGGGCTTAACGTTAGGGTTTAGGGTTTAGGGTTTAGGGTTTAGGGTTTAGGGTTTAGGGTTTAGGGTTTAGGGTTTAGGGTTTGGGGCTTAACGTTCGGGTTTAGGATGCTTGCGGGGCGCACGGAAGACCCCTCGCCCCCGAAACTCAGACCAAACCCTAAACCCTAAGCCTAAACCCAAACCCTAAACCTTTCCACACACTAAACCCTAAACCCTAAACCCTAAACCCTAAACCCTAGACCCTAAACCCTAAACCCTAAACCCTAAACCCTAAACCCTATATAATCCCTAATAGTAGACACTAAACCTGAACCCTGAACCCTGAACCCTGAACCCTAAACCCTAAACCCTAAACCCCTTCTGGCCCCCTAAGTTTTGTTCCTGTCCGCGCGGCTCCCGGGAGGAGAGATGCGCGGCCCGGGGAACCATTAAGTTGCAGATGCAGACTGCTACCGACCGCAGGCTCTGAAGCCCTGAACCCTAATTCAGGTTTAGGGTTTAGGGTTCAGGGTTTCGGGTTGAAGGTTTTGGTAGTCCCCTTCGTGCTCTTTTGCCCTAGTTTTTGGGGTGCGAGGTTCCCTGTCTAAATGGGACCAACTCCCCAAACAGGTACCCTTATCCTAGGTCAGCCTTTGGGATCTGTGGATCTTTTCCTTGTCTGGGTTCCTAGGTGGGATAAGGGGGACCCTTAAAAGGGAACCCCTTCTGAACCCTCTTCTGGCTCTCTTAACAAGGGACCTTATTCAGAGGGTCTATATCCCCAAGGGTTCCCCTAATCCTGTCCCCTATTTATGTGGGACCCCATAAAATCTTATTTTCAAAGGTGAAAGGCCAAGCCAGTATTGTCATATGGCTACCGGGCTACCGGAAGCCATCAACGCAAAACCTTTGGGCTACCAGAAGCCGTCAACACAAAACCTTTGAACGTGAATTTCAACCTTCAACCGGTGACTGCTGAAGCCCTGAACCCCACCATTTTTGTACCATTTTTGTACCATTTTTGTACCATTGTTGTAGTCAGGTTAGCCTACGCCCTAAGCCCTAAGCAGCAAGCCCCAAGCCCCAAATGTGAACCACCAAAAAGCCCTAAACCCTACTACACCCTCCTTGAGCTTGCGCCGACCATGCCAGGTGGCAAACCCTGCCCGCCCTCGCGCGGATGCCAGTGAGTGAGGTGGGTGCCCAGAGGGCCCCTCGAGCCCAAAAAGCGCCCTTACACGTGGAACCTGTAGTTCAGCAGTCGGATCCGCAAGGCCTGGGCGGGCCCTAAGTCCTAAAGCCTAAACTAAACTGTAAACCCTAAGCCCTAAACATTATATGGATGTATGTATGTAGGTATGCATGTATGTATGGGATTTAGGGTTGAGGACTTTAGGAACCAAACCCTTAGCTTGACACCCTATTAGAAAGCACCGATGTTGATCCACTTTACGCCTTTTTCGGCCCCCACAAGGTAGATCTATATCCCCATTGGGAATCATTTCTTAGTTTTGTTTACATAGAACCCAAGAGGGCATTCAACATATTGTTTTTATTAAGGTTCTAAGGGGCGTATAGAGATGAACCCTCACAGAACAGATCCTGATAATTTGGGTCATCAGGGTTTAGGGTCGAGGCATTTGCTTCAATAGAAACCCACATGTAATTAAGCCCCCCCCCCCCCTGCCAGTAAGAAAAGCTGGAGCTTCTGACTGTCAGATGGCGGTTACGCAAAGAATTCAACCCCTCAACCCCTGAACCCTGAGCCCCTAAACCCTAAACCGTACATGTAGTCTTCCCACAGCTCCAGGTTCCCATGTTTCCCACCCTGGCGCCCTACTAAACCCGAAACCCTGCCCAGATCCAAAAGGTTGAGGGGTGAGGGTTTAGGTTACTTGTTTGGCTAGGACCCAGAGTAGGCCCTTATTCCCTTTTTAAGGATGTAGGTTCCCTTGTGAGCCCCTTTTATGCCAACAAGGGTACATTTTTTTTCTAGTATACACTGTAGGCGTGTAGCTTCATTGCGGAGACGCGGCTGGTCTGGTGGGTTGCCTGTCGGCCCGAAAGCGGCGACGTGTGACATGAACGCTCGCGGCAAAAAAGAGCTTAGAGTTGTGGGCTTAGGGTGTAGGGCTGCCAGGTACAGTCAAAGACAGGTCGTTGCTGGTAGTATAGGGGTCGGAATAGTTGCTAATAGTATTCCCTGTGTAGTCCTTTTGTATTTATACTACAAGAACCTCCCCAAATCCTATTCTAATTTTTCAGGCCCCTAGAACCCTAGCAAACCCCAAACCCTAAGCCCCAAACCCTAACACCTCTTCTACTCATTAAGGCCCCTATCGTGCCCGTTGCTCACTTTCCTTTTTTGCACTCCCTTTTGGCAGAAAGGTTGATGGAGCGATGGGGTTGACTTGAGCGTGGCAACGTAGTGGGGTCGATCCATCGTTCCAGCCAGCCAGGCACACCTCGCTCAAAGGCGAGCCCTAAACCCAAAACCCAAAACCCTAAACCCTAAACCCTAAACCCTGAACCCTGAACCCTAAACCGTAAGCCCTAAACCCGAAAACCCCAAACCCGAAAACCCTAAACCCGAAAACCCTAAACCTTAAACCCTAAACTAGGCAGGCCCTTGGGATGTTCATGATCGTCCCTGTAGAAGTACGAATTGCTTAAGAACCCCGAAAAAATTGAAACATATATTCCTCCTTTTTAAAAGAAATTTCTTAAACCATTGTTTTTGTATTCTTGTGGAGTTCTTAAGCAAATAGTAGAGAAGGGGATCATATACAACAACACTTTTCAGAGGGTAAGCTTCAACCTGGCCACGAAGCCCTGGGTCACAACTCTTAGGGCTTAGGGCCCCCCAACACCGATCAAGCCGATTCTAGATCCTAAGCTCCCAAACCCTCAACCCCCAACTCTCAACTCTCAACCCTCAACCCTCAACCCTCAACCCTAAACCCTACATTCTCATCCCTGGACCCTAAATGTCAGGCTGGAACCCTAAACCCTGAACCCTAAAGCCCTAAACCCTAAATGCTAGAATCCGAAGCTCCTAAACCGTAAGCCCTCAACCCTCAACCCTCAACCCTCAACCCTAAGCCCTAAACCCCTAAACCCCTACACCCCTACACCCCTAAACCCTCAATGGCAGGCCATAGACTCGAAGCACTGCGAGACCCAGATCTTCAAGCCTCCTCGTTTGGGCTGCCCAGAGACGTTCAGGGCCTTGAGCCCCTAAACTCGGGACCCCGAAACCCCGAAACCCCGAAACCCCGAAACCCCGAAACCCCGAAACCCCGAAACCCCGAAACCCAGAAACCCAGAAACCCCTAAACCCCTAAACCCCTAAACCCCTGAACCCCTAAACCCTAAACCCCTAAACCCCAGCCGCTACCGGAGGGTTTGGTGTTTAGGGTTTAAGGCTTTGAAGGTTCGAAGGTCTTGGGCTTGTGTGTTGGGCTGAGGGTTGGCAGCACCTCCAAATGCGTATGGATTGGCATTTCAGCTTTCAGTGAGGAAGAGGTTGCTGTTTCATGCTGTTACATATCGTTGGACCAGGCGATTGCACTGTCCAAGACGCATGAAATATGTTGATGAGTTGTGGCATTGGGCAATCCCGCCTCTGTGCGCTAGGTCCTGCCCTACACCTCAACCCCAAAATTGCTACAAGCTTTGCAGACGGTGGACTGTGGTCGCAGCAGGGTAAGAGGCTGCAACTCTTTGCGGTCCTTGGCCAAACAGAAATTCATTCTTTTTTGAACACTAAACCCTAAGCCCCGAAGCCCAAACCTTAGATTCGGAAACTTTCCTTTGCCGGTCTTGGGCCGAAGCCACACTGTTTAGGGTATAGGGTTTAGGGTTCCTTTTCTGTTCCTTGGTTGTTGGAGGAGTGCTTTGTTGGGGGTTGGCGAACCCTAAATCCCAAAATCGTTACGGTGTGAATCAGCCTTTCCAGATTTCGCACCAAATTTCGAAGCCCTAAACCCTAAACCCTAAACCCTAAACCCTAAACCCTAAACCCTAAACCCTAAACCCTAAACCCTAAACCCTAAACCCTACATCGGCCCTTAGTGGGAGTTCGGGATATAGGCTACACAGTTCCTTGTAGGGTTATATAGGGGACATGACACTACGTCCTGAAACTTAAACCCTAAACCCCACTAAGAATTAGTACGGAAATGCACCCGCCCCAGGGAAAGAGACAGCTCACGACAGCTTCGACAATGAGGCGCTAGCAGGTTTAGGGTTTGCTGTGTGATGCTCGTGCTGTATGGTGCAGAAACTGTATAGGATAGAAGATGTTTGCGAATGCTTCGTAAGGAGTTGGGTTTAGGGCTTGCAGTGGCCTGACGACAGAGTTAAGGGCGGCTTCATATCAGAGTGTGGGTAAGGCTTGTGTGGCTTCGCGCCAGCTACCTGATAACAATCTCCCGCCAACGCGTAGCTTTGTTTTTTTGGAATCAGACCTTTGGGGATGAGTTGTTGTAATAGCAAGCAAGACTGAGTTGGTAACTTTAAAAAGGGCTTTAGGCCTAGACCTTAAACCCCTCAAACCCTACAAGCCCTAGAAACCCTACAAGCCCTGTAGACGCCCTAAACCATGAGCCAGAAACCCCAAACTCGAAACCCTAAACGAGCGCGCGTATCGGGGCTCGGGTTCCGAGGCTTACGAAGACGACGATGACGACGGCAGCTACATCTCGGAGGGTGAGCCCATCGAGTCTGGGCTCCCAGACTCCTCGACCCTAAACCCTAAACCGCCTAAACCCTAAACCCTAAACCCTGAACCCCTAAACCCCAAACCCTAAACCCTAAACCCTAAACCCTAAACCCTAAACCCTGAACCCTGAACCCTGAACCCTGAACCCTAAACCGAGTGAGCCGGGGCCGTCGAGCAGGGCGAACGCACCGAAGCCGGCAGGCGAGGGAGCTCCGGAGCCCTGACTATTGACAGAGCTCTCAACCCGTACGCAGCTACGGGTTGTGCGGAAGACCAGGTAGCCTAGCTCACTGGCCAATTACCCTAAACCCTAAACCCTAAACCCTAAACCCTAAACCCTAAACCCCAAACCTGTGGGTTGATCGGTGCTTCCTCTTTTGGCGCCTCCCAGGCAGGGTTTCGGTTTATCGGTAGGGGCCTTTCAGGAAGGGTCTTCTGGACACAGTGTATGAGGCAGGGCTTTAGGGTTTAGGGTTTAGGGTTTAGGGTTTAGGGTTTAGGGGTTAGGGGTTAGGGTTTAGGGTTTAGGGTTTAGGGCTTCCCAGGAGCTTTCTAGGCAGAAACCAAACATGGGCATCCAGGAAAGGGTTCTCAAGCACCAGCCAACCCCCAACACCAAACCTCAGACACCCAAGGACACCTGCCAAAGCCTCCAGTTTATTCACTTCCAGGGGCCTCCCAAAGTTCACTTGGAAATCGGGGCGCGGGATTGGGCCCCCTCAACTGAGACACCCTGAACCCCAAACCTGTACCCACCCTAAGACTGAGCCCCCTTCGTAAACCCGAAACCCGAACCCTAAACCTTCAGTCCTAAGCCCTAAGCCCGAAACCCTAAACCCTAAACCCCAAACCCTAAACCCTAGCTCTAGACCTTCAACCCGAAGCCCTAAACCCTGAACCCCAAGACCGTCCAGGCCACACGAGCCCGTCGCTTGGGGCAGGAGTGCCCGAGGCGATTGTAGGGTGCCTGTTATTTATTAATCTTTTTGTTTTTTGTTTTTTTTTTGGGGGGGGGGGGTTAGGGTTTAGGGTTAGGGTTTAGGGTTCAGGGTTTAACTGGGGTTAAGGGTTTAGGGTTTAGGGTGTAGGGCTTAGGGTTTAGGGTTTAGGGGTGTGGAACCCTAAGCCCTGCAATACCCTAAAGCTTCGCAAGCTCGAGATCACAGAAAATCCAGAACCTAAACCGTAAACCCTAAACCCTAAACCCCGAACCACAAACCCTAACCGCTAAACCCAAAACCTTGCCATAAAGTAAAGCATTTGGAGGTTCCCTAAACCCCTAAATAGTCTTGTTTGTGGGTATGGGGGAGTACACGGAGGTTGCGGGTCCGTGAGGTTCTAGCTGAATGCCCTTTCGGAAGTTGCGTTTCTCTTAGGGTATATGTCTAGGACCCAGATGAGGCCCTTGTTCCACTTTGTTAGGGTTTAGGCTCCCGTATGAGCCCCTTTACACCACAAAAGGGCTAGAGTCCTTCTGGTACAAGGTAGCCGCAAACCCTCATCTCAATGAACCACGATTCACGCCACTCTTCTGAGAGCCTACCCCTAATCTTAAGCCAAATCGCATCATGAGTCCTAGATGTTCTGAGTTCCTCCACAAGGCCCTACAACCACTACACCCTAAACCCAAACCCTAAACTTTCTCTCGTTCTTGCGCAAGGCGCTTGGTGGCGGATGCGTGGCAACCTCCGAGAGGCAACCCCGAACCCTGAATCCCTAAACCCTAACACCTAACTCCGCCATGGCGCGGCCACTCAAGGGTTTTGCCGTCAAGGTACTGGACTCCCTAGTTCTAAACCCTAAACCCTAAACCCTAAACCCTAAACCCTAAACCCTAAACCCTAAACCCTAAACCCTAAACCCTAGAGAACCGGCAAGTAGATAGGAGTTTGTTTTCAAAATGAGTTTGTCTGACTTCTTCATTGCTTTGTGGGGGGGGGGGGGGGGGGGGGGGAGGGGGGTTGTCATTTTGTCTGCGTGGTCAAGCAAGACACCCTCTAACTTTAGTGATCCTCTCAAGCTTCAAAGTCTGTTTCCATAGTAGGGGGCCGATCGTCATCACGGCGGTCTGCTGACGATGGAAGCGATCCGCAGACCCTAAGCCCGAAGCCCTAAGTCCTAAACGCAAGCCCTCAACCCCAAACCCTAAACCCCAAACCCCAAACCCTAGATTACATAAACTCAGGGTTCTTGGGGTCTAGGGCTTCGGAATCACCCTAAACCCTAAAACCCTAAACCCTAAACCCTAAACCCTAAACCCTAAACCCTAAACCCTAAACCCTAAACCCTAAACCCTAAACCCTAAACCCTAAGCCCTAAACCCTAAACCCTAAACCCTAAACCTCAGGCTTCGGGATCTATCGGAGTTCTTCCGATTTCTGAAGGCAGCTCTTGGGTTGGTCGCCAAGGCTTCAGACACAATTACCCGGCCGCCCCCACACCTAGAACCTGTTCCCCAAGCCACTTAAAAACCTCACCTAAAACCTAAACCCTAAACCCTAAGCCCTAAGCCCTAAACCCTAAACCCTAAACCCTAAACCCTAAACACTAAACCCTAAACCCTAAACCCTAAACCCTAAGCCCAAAGCCCTAAACCCTAAACCCTAAACCCTAAACCCTAAACCCTAAACCCTAAACCCTAAACCCTAAACCCTAAACCCTTCATGCGTGCCGCCGAGAGGAGCTGGTTGTCCGCAGTGGCGTGTCTCTGGCAAGCGCTGAACTTGACCGCTGGGCTGGTGACCCAGCATTTCTGAAGGGTTTAGGGTTTGGGGTTTAGGGTTTAGGGTTTAGGGTTTTTTGGTTTAGGGTTTAGGGTTTGGGGTTTAGGGTTTAGGGTTTGGGGTTTGGGGTTTAGGGTTGAGGGTTTGGGGTTTAGGTTTGAGGGCTTAAGGGGTTCGAGTAGTTTCATGGGCCCTTAACATGGTCCCTACCCTCCTTTAAAGGGCTTGGGTTTGGGGTTTTAGGGTGTAAGGTGTAGGGTTTGGGGTCTAGGGACCCTGTCACCACCCTTAGAGCATTCACAAGCACGTCCTACTTAAGGGGGTGCGTGGTTTAGGGCTTATACGAAGGGGTCGGAATATTTTCTAAAAGTCTTCCTCTATGGTCGCCATATACTTATACAGTACTCTAATGACCCCCCAAACCACCATCTAGTTATTAAGGCCTCTTATATTGTAGAGTTTAGGGTGTTAGGGTTTAGGGTTTAGGGTAGGGTTTTAGGGTTTAGGGTAACTTGCCGAAGCTGTAAAGCTGAACGACCGCAGTTCCGGATCTCGGAATTTCTAAACCCTAAACCCTGAACCCTAAACCCTAAGCCCTAAACCCTAAACCCTAAACCCTAAACCCTAAACCCTAAACCCTACACCATGAACCCGAAACTCACCTTAAACCTTTGGCCTCAGGCCTTTTCTCTGTACCGGGGGGGGGGGGGGAAGACTTTCGGCTTCCGGGCTCAGGGCTCATAGATTTCAGTGGCTGGCTCATGGGTTTCAGAGTTTAAGGGTTTCGGGTTTCAGGGGTTCAGGTTAGGGATTTAGGGTTGTTGGCTTGAGGGCTTGAGGGCGAAGAGTTTAGGGCTTCAGGGGCTTTGGGGCTACGCCGGATAATGGCCATTGAATCTCTAAACTGTGGGTTTGGGGGATTAGGGGATCGTAAGCCGCAAGCCTCGCACCCTAAACCCTAAACCCTAAACCCTAAACCCTAAACCCTAAACCCTAAACCCTAAACCCTAAACCCTAAACCCTAAACCCTAAACCCTAAACCCCCATATACCTGCTCTCATCCCTGATTCAGGTGCCCTCGCACAACGCAGTCTTCCAGCAGAAGGTCGACACTGCATGGGCTCTTGGAGTATTTAGGGTTTAGGGTTTAGGGTTTTAGGGTCAGAGGAGTCGGCCTACACCACCTTCAGGTTTAGGGTGTAGGCTTTAAGCCCTAAACCCTCAACACCTCCCCTCCCCCAAAAAAGAACGTTCACCCCCCCCCCCCCCCTCTCTCCCGAGAAAGAAGGAGGCGAAGGGTAAGCAGGGCAACCGTGGTAAGTAGATGTAAGTAGTTTGAACAAGGTTATCACCCCAAAACCCTAGAGCCTAGGCCCTAAACCCTAAACCCTAAACCCTAAACCCTAAACCCTAAAACCCTAAACCCTAAACCCTAAACCCTAAACCCTAAACCCTAAACCCTAAACCCTAAACCCTAAACCCTAAACCCTAAACCCTAAACCCTAAACCCTAAACCCTAAACCCTAGACTTAGAGCCTAGGGACGACTTAGACCCTTACCTAGCCTTTTGTTCAACATTGAACTGTTCCGGCCCGGCATAGGCCCTGAAATAGGACACCCTTACAATCAGGTCCCCCTCCCCCTCCCGCCCCAGACCCTAAACCCTAAACCCTAAACCCTAAACCCTAAACCCTAAACCCTAAACCCTAAACCCTAAACCCTAAACCCTAAACCCTAAACCCTAAACCCTAAACCCTAAACCCCAAGTTGAAAACAAAACCTTAAGCCCGAAACCCTAAACCCTAGACCCTAAACCCCAAGTTGAAAAAATCCCTATGCCCGAAACCGGGAAATGCACAATGTAGGCCCTCTGCCTTGTTGGCAGGGGCGGCCTCGGGTGCTTACCTCGGGCAAGGGCCAGGGGTGCAGCCGCCGCGTTTTCTCAGAGCCCGTGCACCTGCTTGGGGGGTTTACTACCATCTGCTTAAGAACCCCCCCCCCCCCCCCCCCCAAGAAATGAACAAAAAGCAATCACTATATTACCCTTAAATGGAAGAATGTTTTGTTTTTCTTTGGGGGGGGGGGGTTCTTAAGCAATTGGTAGTTTAGGGTTTGAGGGATTTAGGGTTCAGGGTTTAGTGTGGGGTTTGAGGGATTTCGGGGATTCAGGCTTCAGGGCCCTAAGCCCTAAGCCCTAAGCCCTAAGCCCTAAACCCTAGACCCTAAACCCTAAACCCTAAACCCTAAACCCTGAACCCTAAACCCTAAGTTTAGGGTTTAGGGTTTAGGGTTTTAGGGTTTCAGGGTTTTAAGGTTTAGGGTGGTTCGAAGGGCATGGAGAGCTGAAGGACACTGGGTGTTTAAGGGCGTCGAGGGTTTTTAGGGTTTATATAGGGTTTAGGGTTAGGGTATTAGGGTTTAGGGTTAGGGTTTAGGGTTTATATAGGGTTTGTATAGGGTTTAGGGGTTTATATAGAGTTTAGGGTTTAGGGGCGTTTAAGGGTGTGGAGGGTTTTAGTGTTTAGGGCTTAGGCCGTTTTGATTGCCTTTGCGGGGTCCAAGAATCCGCGAGTTGCGACTCTACGCCTGAGTCGGGCGATACCCTAAACCCTAAACCTTAAACCCTAAACCCTAAACCCTAAACCCTAAACCCTAAACCCTAAACGAATGTCTCTAGCAAGTGAACCCCCTTAGTGAGACGGCGAACGAAGGCGGCTGCGCGCCCTGGAGTGAAGCTCCCCCCAATCTGGTGATCGGTCTAACGGAATCGCCAACCCTAAACTTCTGAAACCCTGCGCCCTACATCTTAAACCCTAAACCCTAAACCCTAAACCCTAAACCCTAAACCCTAAACCCTAAGCCCTAAGCCCTAAGCCCTAAGCCCTAAGCCCTAAGCCCTAAGCCCTAAGCCCTAAACCCTAAACCCTAAACCCTAAACTTAGGGTTAGGGCTTAGGGCTTAGGGCTTAGGGCTTAGGGCTTAGGGCTTAGGGCTTAGGGCTTAGGGCTTAGGGCTTAGGGCTTAGGGCTTAGGGCTTAGGGCTTCTAGCTTCTAGGGTTTTGGGCGTATAGTGTTTACAGGGTTTCGAGGGTTCATAGGGTTTATGGGGTTTATTAGGGCTCATGGGTTTTGTGGGGTTTATGGGCTTTGTGGGGTTTATGGGCTTTATGGGGTTTGTAGGGTTTATAGGGTTTATGGGTTTATGGGGTTTATGGGGTTTGAAGGGTTTCGGGAGTAGGGCTGCAGCACCCACCCGCAGAGAACCTTTTCGAGAATCCCGCAGAAATTCCATAGAGTGTCCCTGCCGGGAGAGCCCACTCCCAGACAAACCAGCAGAGAATACCGCTGGGGAGCCCCAATTCCCAAACAAATCTCGCAGAGTCTCCCGGAACCCCCAAAAACCCTAGGACAACCCTAAACCCTAAACCCTAAACCCCAAACCCCAAACCCCAAACCCCAAACCCTAAACCCTAAACCCCAAACCCCAAACCCCAAACCCCTAAACCCCAAACCCCAAACTCTAAACCCTAAACCCCAAACCCTAAACCCTAAACGTCCAGATCATCCCTACAGTGCTTGCAAGGTGCATTCGCATGCCGATCCAGCCCGAAGGCTGGGTGACGGCCGATGCCTCTCGCGCTGGCGGTCCACAGTGAAGACCTCGGGGCTGCTGGGTTCGGGGTTCAGGGCTACTAGGGTTTAGGGTTTAGGGTTTAGGGCTACTAGGGTTTAGGGCTGCTGAGAGGGTTCCGGGTTCGGGGTTTAGGGTTTCGGGCTACTAGGGTTTAGGGATGAAAGGGCTGCTGAAAGGGCTTCGGGGTTTGGGGTTTAGGGTTGGGCTACTAGGGCTGAGGGTTTAGGGCTACTGAAAGGGTTTCGGGGTTTGGGGTTTATAGGGCTACTAGGGTTTAGGGCTTACTGAACGGTTTTTGGGTTCGGGGTTTAGGGCTACTAGGGTTTAGGGCTACTAGGGTTTAGGGTTTGGGGCTACCAGGGTTTAGGGCCCAGGGTTGCTCGGGATTGGACAACCTCGGCCTGCTTGTTTGGGTTAGCGGCTTAGCCACCAGCTGTACGGGGGCATGAGCTGGAAGAGGTGTTTGGGGTTTAGGGTTTAAGGTTTAGGTTTTGGAAAGGGTTAAACACCAAGAGCAGCAAGGAAAAGGGCGACCCTTCACGCCCCAGTAGATTCTCGGGCTACGGGTCTGCATTTTGGGGTGGTGGGGGATTAAGGCACTATGGCTGGGCAACTAAACTAAACACTATTTCAACCCTAATTAACCCTAAAGAAGGATGCCTCCCGGTCGTTTCTTCTACCTGGACATAGGTTTGCAATTCCGTTTTTGCGGTTGCCTACATTTCTGACTCAAGTTTCATCAGCGGCGATGCGGGCGACAGGCCGTCCAACCGCCGTGCTCAGGGCGGTGTCCTAGACGGCAAGAGGAAGCGCGACAATCAAAGGTGCGCGTGGCGCTCTGAAGCCTCACGCAGCCTTAAGGACCAAATGAACCTTAAAAGGGTTTATGGTTCACATACCTTAGTAAGGAATTTTAGTAGTAGAGGGTCTAGGGCCCCAGTTTTAGGGTTCATGTGGTCTCCGAGGAGGTCTGCGGGGCTGCCGTAGTTCTGAGGCGGTCTTCTGGCTGTCTCACAGCCAAAAACCATTCAGCGCAGGTGGGCCCTGGAGCAACCCTAAACCCTAAACCCTAAACCCTAAACCCTAAACCCTAAACCCTAAACCCTAAACCCTAAACCCTAAACCCTAAACCCTAAGTCTGCTGGCCGAAGAAGCCGCCTCGCAGTGCCTGGGGAGGGCAGCGGCAGCCAGATACTCTCCTGGCAGGAAGACTTGGGGGTTTAGGGTTTAGGGTTTAGGGTTTAGGGTTTAGGGTTTAGGGTTTAGGGTTTAGGGTTTAGGGTTTAGGGTTTAGGGTTTAGGGTTTAGGGTTTAGGGTCGCCAGAAGGTTCTCTCATGCCTTCGCCTGCTCGTTGCAGATCTGCACCCCTATAGACATTATACATCCTGAGCCCTGCGTGTGATCTACTGATGCGATCTAGATACATATGGGTGGTTGTCAAAATTATGGTCCCTTTTGGGGTGCCCTAAATATTAGGTGCCGTATTATAATCGGGACCCAAAAAGGGACCCTAATTTTGACAGCCACCCATATATTCTTCCGACTTTTTTGAACCCTTCTAGAGACAATACAACATGTTGTTAAGCACATCAAAAACCAGTTTGGTCTATCTAATTACTAAGAAAAGGTTGTATTAAGGATTCTCTTTGCAAAAGAAACTACGTTGGTAGTCCGTGCCTTGTGTACGCAGCCCTGTGTAGAGCTGGGATGTAGGGGTTAGGGCTTTGACAACCCTAAGAGCGCACGAACCCTGAACCCTACATCCTAAGCCCGAAACACCTGAACCCGAACCTTAAACCCTACATACATCCTCAGCCCTCAGCCACATCAGCCCTTGAGGTATCTGGTTCGCACGCACGCCCCGCAGTGGCGCGCGTGGCCCTCAGACCCCCTTGCATTTGGGATGGCTCCAGTCTGCGGTTGGGTTTAGGGTTTGGGGTTGCAGGGTTAGAGTTTAGAGTTCAGGGTTTCAGGGGTTGAGGGTTTAGGAGCTTAGGTTTAAAGGGATCATTGTTCAGGGGGCGTTCAGGTGCAGGTTCGTGATGAGGACCGCAGTTGGCCCGAAACCTTAACTTACTGGGCACTCGTTGAATCTTGACTTTGTGGGCATCCGTTTTTGGTAAGAACATGGTGGAGAAGTGTGTTAAACCCTAAACCCTAACCTTGAAACCTTCAGGTTAAGCGGGGTTGATCAGGGTTCAGGGTTGTGGTTGGGTGGGTGCTGGTGCTAGCAGCGCTTAGGCCGCTGGCCTGCGTCGCTCGTTACCTCTCTTTGAGCTGTGGGCGTTTAGGGTTTAGGGTAACGGCTTAGGGTTTAGGGTTTCGGGTTTAGGGTTTAGGGTTTAGGGTTCAGGGTTTAGGCAATCTGGGTGGTCCACCAGTTCTACGTGCGAGCAAACCCTAAACCCTAAACCCTGAACCCTGAACCCTAAACCCTAAACCCTAAACCCTAAACCCTAAACCCTAAACCCTAAACCCTAAACCCTAAACCCTAAACCCTAAACCCTAAACCCTAAACCCTAGCGCGACTTGGAGCAGCATGCAAGGAGGTCCGCGCGCCCCACGAAGTACGGTCGCTGCGATGTGCACGGCCTGCCCTTTCGCCCGCATATTTTCCGGCATGGTTGACACGCAGGAAGATTGGGCAGAGTCTGTCCGTACTTCAATTCTTTGAGAGTCTGCCGGATGGCGAGCGTTGTTGCTGGCAACGCAACGTCTCTCGTCAACCGGGCAAGTTTCCGCAGTGGCTGCGGTCAGAGCACTCAGCGTTGTGAGCGCGCCTGAGGCGGGGGGGCCGCTGATGCGCAAGAACCAGCACATGCTGCTTCCCTGTGCGAAACAGATTTGAAGGGTTCGGGGTTAGGGTCTGACCTTGACGTTTCCGAGTTTTGTTTGAGGGTTACGCCCACCCCCCCCCCCCCCCCCCCCACCCCCGCCACCCCCCCCCCCCCCCCCCACCCCCCGCCCCCCACCCCCCGCCCCCCCCCCCCACCCCCGGACTTGAACCCTAAGCCTTGCACCCTACCCCCGCCGTTGGCTTGTCCTCCCTTTTCCGACACCTCTGGCGCTTAGGGTTTAGAGATTCAGGGTTTAGAGAGTTTTGTTCGTGTTATGGAGGTTCCTAAACCCTAAACCCTAAACCCTGAACCCTAAACCCTAAACCCTAAACCCTAAACCGTTTAGGGTTTAGGGTTTAGGGTTTAGGGATATTGACCAGCTATGACTGTACTTACAATTGTACAGTGGGTTATAAGTACAGTTATAATTGGTTAGTAGTACCATGAACGTCCATGTATAGGTATAGAGCCCGCTAAGCAAACAGGTTCGGTGGTTTAGGGTTTAGGGCTTAGGGATTTGAGCGCTGAGCGTCCCTTTAGCCGCGGGGCCAAAACCACAAAGCCCACCAACACCAGGAATCCTAAATTCCAACATTTGCTCTCTACAAACTGTAACAAAAAGGTAGGGATTGTGTTTCTTGTTTGGTCCGGAAGCAAGCCCAGTACGAGGGGCCCGAAACCCGAAACCCCAACCCTAAAAACCCCAACCCTAAACCCCAAAAAACCCTAAACCCGAAACCCGAAACCCTAAACCCTAAACCCTAAACCCTAAACCCTAAACCCTAAACCTTAAGAGAGCCATCATAGCTATAGCCGACCCCGGGCAATAAAAAGCCGAATTGAGGCCGTCTATGAGTCGGCGGAGGGTGAACAGGACTGCATCCTGGGGCACAGGTTTTAGCAAGGTTAGGGTTTAGGGTTTAGGGTTTAAGGTTTAGGGTTTAGGGTTTAAGGTTTAGGGTTTAGGGTTTAGGGCTTAGGGGTTAGGGTTTAGGGTTTAGGGTTTAGGGTTCAGGGTTTAGATTTAGGGTGTAGGGCTTAGCGTTTAGGATTTAGGGTTGAGGGCTCAGGGCTTTCGGATGTGCTTTAAGTGGAGGATCAGGTGACTTGGTACGGAAACCTGACGCCCCAACCCCTTCACCCTTAAGCCCCAAGCCCTAAACCCTAAACCCTGAACCCTAAACCCTAAACCCCCTCTGCCAGATGGTCGAAGTCAGGACATCATCGTCCGCGCATCGTTAGAGCTGGACAGCGAAGCCGGGGGGCTTGAGTCACTGTGGGTCTAGGGTTGAGGGTTGAGGGTTCAGGGTTTTAGGGTGTTAGGGTGTTAGGGTGTTAGGGTGTTAGGGTGTTAGGGTTTTAGGGTTTAGGGTTTAGGGTTGAGGGTTTAAGGGTTTTAGGGTTGAGGGTTGAGGGTGTTAGGGCGCCAGAAACGTCCAGGCACCTCCAGGAACCCTAAACCCTAAACCCAAAACACTGAACCCAAAACCCGAAGCCATGCTTTTTATGCGCCGTGAGCCCGGCCTCAAACTCCACGTCCCGGAGCTTCCCGAGGTTGTCGCAAGCCTTTCGTGCGGCGATGTCGTGGAGCAGGTGTGGCCCTAAACCACCCTAAGCCCTAAAGGGGTTTGGGTGTAGGGTTTAGGGTTTAGGGTCTAGGGTTTAGGGTTTAGGGTTTAGGGTTTAGGGTTCGGGTTCAGGGTTTAGGGTTTAGGGTTTAGGGTTTAGGGCTTTTGCCTCAGGACCCGAAAATAAACCACTTAGGGTTTAATTAATTAGGATTCGGGGTTTGGGTTGGGGTGTTCCCCCCCTTACACTCACAGTCCTTCATAGGGATTATATTAGGGGGTACTAGAATCCCTATGGAGGACTGTTGGTACAAGGGGGAACATCCCAAGTTTAAGGTCAAGGACAAGCAATTGAGGCTTTAGGGTTTAGGGTTTGGGGTTGTAGGGCTTCGGGCTTCGGGTTTAGGGTTTAGGGTAAGCAAGTGAGGCTTTAGGGGTTTAACGCCTACGGTTAGGGGGCTGGCGAGGGCCCCCAGAGTGGCGATGTTTCAGGTTTTGGGTTTCGGGTGAAGGGTTTAGGGCTTAGGGCGGGATCGGGCTCCCCTTGCGGGTTCATGGAACGTACCCGAAACCCTAAACCCTAAACCCTACACCCTAAACCCTAAACCCTAAACCCTAAACCCTAAACCCTAAACCCTATTTTCCAGCTGGCCTGATATTGACTCCCCGAACTCTTCGTGCGTGGTTGCCTCATACGTGCATGATCACAACTGGTTCGTAATCCCTGAATGAAGCAACGGGAACCGTTAGTCTTTGGGGCTTTTGTGGTTGAGGATTTGAAAAAGATCTTATAGGGTTTGGGGTTCAGGGCTTAGGGTAGGCTTGGAAGGTTGCGGTCCTAGCAGAATAACGTTTAGGGTTTAGGGCCTCGTTTCGTCTCAAACCTTGATGGTGTTGCTCAGGCATTTCAGATCGGAAGAACTGCAGATATTGCTGCTGTTGCTCTGGAATTTACAGGGTTCAGGGTCTCTAGTTTAGCTTTTAGGGCTTTAAGAGAACTGGTCAACGTGGAATACAGGGAAGTGTCACTATAAAACGTGCTGCAAAGTGTCAGACTTCAGAAGGTGGGTGGGTAGGTTCCAAACCGTAGCACCCAAATACAAGCCTTTTGGAATGTGGACCCGCCGCAAAAGCTCCAAAACCCTAAGCCCTGCACCTTACAAAGCCCTAAACCCTAAACCCTAGACCCTGGACCCTAAACCCTAAACCCTCAACCACAAGCCCTAAACCCTAAACCCTGAACCCTAAACCCTAAACCCTAAACCCTAAACCCTAAACCTTGGGGAGAGGATGGCCCGGTGGTCAAGCTCGAGTCCTGGATTCGCAGGCGTCTTGCATGAATCCTGCAGGTCGCTGAGAGGCCTTAAGGTGGGGTTTAGGGCCTCCCTACGCCCCTAGGGTTTAGGGTTTAGGGTTTTGGGTTTAGGGTTTTTAGGGTTTTTAGGGTTTTTAGGGTTTTTAGGGTTTATAGGGTTTTAGGGTTTACGGTTTAGGGCTTAGGGTTTAGAGCTTAGGGTTTAGGGTTTAACAATTTAGGTTTTAGAGCTCAGGGCTGTTTGGAGGATCTAGTGTTTCGCGTTCAGGCTGCTGGACATGGGGGTTGTTTCACTTCCCAGGGGGGGGGGGTTATCAAGGACATACCCTAGACGCTAACCCCTAAAACCCTGAATCCTAACCCAACCACCCCATTCACAAATGAGTGGTTCAACTGCCATGAGGGCATCTAGACTCGCACCCTAGGTCCTGTCTCTTCCCCTACAGGGCAGCCTTAAGATACATACCTACCTACATGTATATATATATATTATATATATATATAAAGCAGGTTTTATATTTCTATTTTTGGTGAGTGTATATAAGGGTTCCTTTTGAATATTGGTGAGTGTATATACCTGGTGTCCTTTTGGGGATACAAGAAATATAAACCCTACTACATATATATATATATATGGTGCACACAATATTCCCAAGGCCCACAAATTTGACCACTTAGAGGTCAATAGGCCCGGGGCCATGCAATTACCCGAGGACTTCTAGAGATCCTATTGTGCCCGGCGCGAAATCCAACTCAGGATCCCCCCCAAAAAAACACAAAATAACAACTAAATTTCGAGAGGAGTAAATGAAACACTATCAAGGTTCCAGGCAAGAGGAGCTCGTCTCCGGGGTTTAGGGTTAGGTTTTCAGCTTTAGGGTTTAGGACTGAGGGCAACTCCCAACAGAGGCCTGTTCCCCCGTATACAAGCAGTCCTTAATGGGGATTATAGTACCCCCTATTAAGATCCCGATTAAGGACTGTTAGTGGAAGGGGGAATAGCCCAACCCCCCCCCCCCCCCCCCCCCCCCCCCCCAAAAAAAAAAAAAAAAAACACACACACACACACATATACACACGCACAACAAAAACAAATAAGCAAGAACATTCTTTTACTTCGAATATCCCCACCCTCTATCCCCACCCCTCTCTTGGTATCTTGGTAGAGATACTCTGGGGCTGGGCCCTAAACCCTAAACCCTAAACCCTCTGGGGACAATCTGGGGTGGGTTGGGCGTTCGGGGAGACTCTAGGCTTGGGCCTCTGGGGTTCTCTGGGCTTGGGCACTCCAGGGACACTCGAGAGTCGAGCCACTCCGCTCCAGGGATGAGCGAGGAGTAGACCGGGCGAAGAGAAGAGTTCCGGGCGAGGAGAAAAGTTGAGTTTAAAATCTAGCACACCGAGGGTGGGGAATAATAAAATAGAAATTAAATAATAATAACAGCAAGAATAATAGCCATAATTATGATGATAATCGTACTAAGAAGAATAATAAAAGATAAGCACAAAAGACGAAGTGGAGGATGCCAATCGTTGTGAAATCTTCGTCCAAGCACAACGGCAGCTCCCACAGGCTTCTTGGCTTCGTCGAGTGTTGGCAGGGTTTCGGCTTCGGAGTTCAGGGTTCAGGGTTCAGGGTTTAGGGTTGAGGGTTGAGGGTTGAGGGTTGAGGGTTGAGGGTTGAGGGATTTAGGGTTGAGGGTTGAGGGTTTCGGCTTCGGGGTTTAGGGTTGAGGGTCTAGGGTTTAGGGTTTTGGCATGAGTCATGAGAGAAGTGCTTTTAGGGTTGAAGCCCGAAATCCCCAGCCCTAAACTCCCAACCCTGGTTGCCCCAGGACCTGCTAAGCCCTCCTGACCTTGCCATGGGTCTGGGGCCACGCGCGCCGCTTAGGGGTTTAGGGTTCTAGGGTTCTAGGGTTCTAGGGTTCTAGGGTTTAGGGTTTAGGGTTTAGGGTTTAGGGTTTAATGTTGACCTAGTAATAGTAAACCCCCACCCCCAATCAAACCCCCCCAAATAGAGTGAGGCCCCTTTGAATAAGGATTCCTTTTCTTGGAGAGAATTAGAGAGGATCAGAGAGAATCACTCAGGATTCCTTTCCTTAGAGAGAATTAGAGAGGATCAGAGAGAATCAGAGAGGATCAGAAAGGATCAGAGAGAATCAGAGAGGATCATAGGGAATCAGAGAGAATCAGAAAGAAGGGCTGGGAGGGTTTTCTTGCTTTGTCTCCCTCTCTTTTCTCTCCATAAACAAACAAAGAAAAACGGACCCCCCCAAAAAACGCCAAGCCCCGACTGGCGTACTTTATTTCCAGGGCTTTATGATTGCGGCCGGGACACCTGGCGTACTTTAATGTTAGGGGCTTTAGTAATACTAGGCTAACATTAGTGTGTAGAGTTTAGGGTTTAGGGTTCAGGGTTTAGGGTTTAGGGTTCTAGAGTTCGAGGGTTAAGGGTTTAGAGTTCGAGGGTTCTAGGGTTTAGGGTTTAGGGCTCTAGAGTTCGAGGGTTTAGGGTTTAGGGTTCTGGGGTTTAGGGTTTAGGTTTGGGGTTCAGGCTTTAGGGTTTAGGGTTCTAGAGTTCGAGGGTTTAGGGTTTAGGGGTGCTCATCCTCGGGCCTCTCGGGCTTAGACCTTCAGGTAGACCCGAACCCTAAACTAACATCCGAAACGGTCCGAAACCCTAAACCCCTAAACCCTAGACCCCAACCCCAAAAACCCTTAAACCCCTAAACCTCAAATCCGAAACCGGAAACCCCTAAGCCCCAAACGCTAACCCCCTGAACCTCTAAACCCCAAGTCCGAAACCCCGCACCCCGAACCTTAAACCCTAACCCCTGAGCCCCTAAACCCCAAATCCGAAACTAAATCCCAAACCCTAAACTCTGGACCCTAAACCCTGAACCCTGACCCCTGACCCCTGAACCCCTTAACTTCAACTCCGAAACCCCAAAAAGCCCTAAAACCCGAAGCCCAGGGTGGCTGGGTGGGTCACGACAGATGCGAGTTCTGCAGGCTCCCGCTTGGCTTCTAGGGGTTTAGGGTTCAGGGTTTCCATGTTTAGGGTTTAGGGTTTAGGGTTTAGGGTTTAGGGCTAGGGTTTACAAGTTTGGGGTTTAGGGTTTAGGGTTTAGGGCTAGGGCTAGGGTTTTGGGTTGAGGGTTTGGGGTTTTAGGGTTTAGGGCTGTGGGTTTAGGGGGGCTTTATGAACTAGTTGACTGTGCAGGGCCAGCTCGGGGCTTTATGGGTAGGATTGAGGTTAGAAGCAGGCACTGAGGGTTTAGGGTTTGGGGTTTAGGGTTTAGGGTTTAGGGTTTAGGGTTTAGGGCTAAATCCCATGGATTGTCAAGGGTACCTCCACAGCACGAACTCAGCCCCACACTTTGCTTGCCACTCAATGAGCTCATGCTGCCATCACTTCTTTTGTTGGGATCCGACAAGAAAAGGCTTAATTAGGGTTTAGGGTTTAGGGTTTAGGGTTTAGGGTTTAGGGTTTAGGGTTTTTGCTTGAGTTTTTGTTTTGTGAAACTGCCCCAAGCAGCACTATGACTTGCATGAGCTGCCCGGCTAAACACGGCCGATAAACCTCCAGTCTAGACCCTCCGAACGGCTGATTCCTAAATCCCAAACAGCTCGGCCAGGTACCAAACTACATACACCCCAAACCCCTCACCCCCTAGACTGGCAAGCCCCAACCCCCGCCAACAGGTGGACCCACATTCTTCCAGGTCATTCCAGAGGCCAGCAGTCAGCCCAGGGCTAAAGCATAAAGCCTAAACCCTGAACCCCTAAACCCTAAATCCCTAAACCGCTAAACCCCTGAACCCCTGAATCCCTGAATCCCTGAACCCCCAAACCCCCAAACCCCCAAACCCCCAAACCCCCAAACCCCCAAACCCCTAAACCCCCAAACCCGCAAACCCCCAAGCCCCCAAGCCCCCCAAGCCCCCCAAACCCCCAAACCCCCAAAAACCCCCAAACCCCCAAACCCCCAAACCCTAAACCCCTAAACCCCTAAACCCCCAAGCCCCAAACCCTTAAAACCCTAGCCCTAAACCCTAAACCCTAACCCTAAACCCCAAGCCCTAACCCTAAACCCTTAAAGCCCTAGCCTTGTGGCTTGAGGGTGTTGGGTTTTGGGGTGTAGGGCTCAAATGTTTTAGGGCTTCAGGGTTCAGGGTTTGTGGCTTAGGGCTTCAGGGTTTAGGGGCTTAGGCCTGGGGTTTAGGGTTTAGGGCTTCAGGGTTTAGGGTGTAGAGTTTAAGGGTTTAGAGTTTAGGGGGTTTCGGGGGCTAGGGGTTTAGGTTTGGCTTGGGCTCGGATTACTAAAGGGAGGAGCCCGAGGAAAAAGCGGACTCCCTTCCATTTCAGATCCTGGGGCCTATGGTTCAGGGTTAGGGTTTAGGGTTCAGGGTTTAGGGTTTAGGGTTTATGTTTCAGGGTTTAGGGTTTCGGGTTTCGGGTTTATCGGTGAAGGGCGTCGAGTTCAACAAGTCTTAGGCTCGCAGTGTTGGGCAAGCCCCAAACCCCATGATCCTGAAGCCCCCCCCCCCCCTACACCTAAATCCCCGAACCCTTCAAAATCCTGAAATTCGAAGCCCGAAACCCTAAAACAACTCTAAACCCTCAACTCCTAAGACTAGACTCTGCAGAATCCGCGTGGAGTTTTGAAGTCCTGTAGGGCTGAGGTTACAGAAGTTGAGTGCTCAGATGTCCATTTATAGGGTTCTTAAGGGAGGGGGGGGGGGGGAGTTCATAGGGTGTAGGTACCTAGGTTAGGAAGCCTTAGGGAAGCCTAGGGAGCCTTAGGGAGTAGTGGGGCGTACCAAAAAAACCTGGGGTTACACACCCCCTTTGAATCCCCCCTCCCTCAAGAACCCTATAATCCATGGTTCAGGGTTATCAGGGTGTTCGAAGCTCCCTTTTAAAGTGCTCCAGGCTGAACCCAACAACGCCAAACGAAACCGACATCGGCCGAGACCTCGGCGTGCTGGGGTCCGTAAGCCCTAGACTCTAAACCCTAAATCCTAAACCGTCAACCCAAATCCTAAACCCTAACCCCACAAACCCCACAAACCCCACAAACCCCACAAACCCTACAAACCCTACAAACCCTACAAACCCTATAAAACTATAAGCCCTATAAACCCTATAAACCCTATAAACCCTATAAACCCTATAAACCCTGTAAACCCTATAAACCCTGTAAACCCTATAAACCCTATAAACCCTATAAACCCTATAAACCCTAAAAACCCTACACCCCAAATCACAAACCTTGGGCCTGAATCGCCTGGATTCATAAAGCCCTGGAGCCCGGAACCGCAACCTTACCGGGTCCTCCCATAAGGCGTATCGCACAGCCAAGAAAGCGTTCAGGCCTGTGGGTTTGGGGTTTAGGGGTTAACGCTGCTGGGTGGCCCACTCTGAGGACGACACCTTCTGCACGGTTTAAGTCACGTCTGGTTCGGGTTCGACGTGTTTGTTGCTCTATTGCGCTGATCTGGATGCGATGCTTTGGACGGACACAAATGTCAAAGCCCCCCTAAGCTCACCAGTTCTTTTCCTGGGAAGTAGGCTGAAGTAGGGAGTTCGGTCCCTCACATCCTCGTAAATTCTAGGGAGGCAAGCTCGCGGGCCCCCTAAACCCTAAACCCTAAACCCTAAACCCTAAACCCTAAACCCTAAACCCTAAACCCTAAACCCTAAACCCTAAACCCGACTTGCAGGGATTGAGAGGAGATGAAGGGGGGGAGGTGGGAAGCCGAGTAGGCATGAGGATCGGGTAGAGTTCAGGGTAGTGTATCACGCATGTGTCTCGTGGTTGCACCTCTTTGAAGATGGATCCGGCATCTATGCGGCGGCGCAGGGTTTAGGGTTTAGGGTTTAGGGTTTAGGGTTTAGGGTTTTGGGGTTTAGGGTTTAGGGTTTAGGGTTTAGGGTTTAGGTTTTAGGGTTTAGGGTTTAGGCCGTCCGTGTTCTGTCATCTGTTGCCAGTGTGGAAAGCTCGACTGGAGCATTTTTGGAACTCCTCCTGCTCCTAACCTTCCGTCACCAGTTTACTGAAGCCAGAGGCCGGATTTATTCGTACCTGCCATTCTCTCTCACACACACACAATTTTCAAAACAAAAACAGCAGCAAAGCGTAAACCAAAAGATAAACATATGCAGGGAGAAAGAAAGAAGAAACCACGATAGTTTCCCAAAACTGAGTTTGGGAAGCTAAACCCTAAAAGGCTGAGCTGGTTAAGCGAGGGCGCCACCGTTTTGCGGGCGCGGGTGGGCATGGGACGATGACACGGCCGATACAAGGCCCCATTCTCGAAAGCTCTCGGGCGTACTCCGAGGCCGAAAACTAAAACTCGCATCGAAATTGCGGATCTCCCTTTGCGAAACCTTCCAACCCTAAACCCTTAACCCTTCACCCTTCACCTGAAGCTCTGAACCCTTAACCCTTACCCTAAAACCCTAAACCCTAAAAAAGGCCTACCACCCTCTAAATTTCAAACACGAAATTTATTCCTCTCCGAAGCACAGTGTCCTCACACCGCGGACGTCTCTTTCTTTGAACCAAGGCAGTAACTCGCGGCCCCTGCGTCTTCGTTGCAAGCCCGGGGTGTGGGTTCAGGGTTCAAAGTTCAGGGTCCAGGGTTCAGGGTTAAGGTTTTACGGTTTACGGTTTGGGTTGCAGTTCACAGCACCGAAGCACTTGCACCTAAACCCAAGACTTGGAGGCTACCTCGAGGCTCGAATACAGTTCCTTTTTGGGGTGAGTTGTAGGGGGTTGCGGTATACCACAGCAAGAGGTACTACATTAGGAGCCTATAGGCAAAATCAGGGTCCCTTTTGGGGGGTCCTTTCTGTAAGGTGCCATACTACGTAGGGACCCCGAAAAGGGAGCCTAATTCAGAGGACCACCCACACGATGTGACAAGAAGAGGCAGAGCCGGGACCCATGACCCTAAGCCCTCGGCTCTAAAAGCCCAGAAGCCGTAAAGCCCTAAAGCCCTAGTCCCCCAAACCCCAAACCCCAAACCCCAAACCCCAAACCCCAAACCCCAAACCCCAAACCCCAAACCCCAAACCCCAAACCCCAAACCCCAAACCCCAAACCCCAAACCCCAAACCCCAAACCCCAAACCCCAAACCCCAAACCCCAAACCCCAAACCCCAAACCCCAAACCCCAAACCCCAAACCCCAAACCCCAAACCCCAAACCCCAAACCCCAAACCCCAAACCCCAAACCCCAAAACCCCAAACCCCAAACCCCAAAACCCCAAACCCCAAACCCCAAACCCAAACCCCCCCAAACCCCAAACCCCAAAACCCCAAACCCCAAACCCCAAACCCCAAACCCCAAACCCCAAACCCAAACCCCAAAACCCCAAACCCCCAAACCCCAAACCCAAAAAAAACCCCAAAAACCCCAAACCCCAAACCCCAAACCCCAAACCCCAAACCCCAAACCCCAAACCCCAAACCCCAAACCCCAAACCCCAAAAACCCCAAACCCCAAACCCCCCTAAACGCCCAAACCCCAAACCCCCCCCAAACCCCAAACCCCAAACCCCAAACCCCAAACCCCAAACCCCAAACCCCAAACCCCAAACCCCAAACCCCAAACCCCAAACCCCAAACCCCAAACCCCAAACCCCAAACCCTAAACCCTAAACCCTAAACCCTAACCCCTAACCCCTAGACCCTAGACCCTAGACCCTAGACCCTAAACCTTAAACCCTCAACCCTCAACCCTCAACCCAAACACCTGTAGTGGCCTGCCGAGGATGCTCTGAGCGCGTAGTTCAGGCTGCCCACTGCACCTATGGCAGGCGCGACTCTACCTTCGGCTGCTCTTCGTCTACCATTTGCTTAAGAAGCCTTAGAAAATAAAGACAATCCTTATATTGCCCCTTACAAGGAAGAATATGTTCTCTTTTTGGGGGTTCTTGAGCAATTAGTAGTCGTAGGGAGGGAATCCGGCACTTCTGCCCCCAGAGTCCCTTGCGCCTGATCGCGGTTCGGGCCTAGGGCTTACAGACACCAAACGCCCCTCAATGGCTTGGAGTTTTGCGGGTGTTAGTCCGGGACATGTTTAGGGTTCGGGGTTAGGGATTGGGGTTTCGGGTTTAGGGCTTTAGAGTTTAGGGTTTGGGGTTTGGGCTTCATCTTTTCGCACGTTTTGGATGGCGACGCGAGTTCCTGCTTGGGAATTTTGTAGACTGCGTAAACCGCACAAGGCCAGTTAAGGGGAGGAATTTCTCCGCAAATATAGCCCTAAACCCTAAACCCTAAACCCTAAACCCTAAACCCTAAACCCTAAACCCTAAACCCTAAACCCTAAACCCTAACCCCTGAACCCTAAATCCTCATGCCACTGGGTAATGCTAATAGCAGCTTGCCAGTTCGCCTACACTTTCTTGTATTTTGTTTGGGCGGGGGGGTGAGGGGGTGGTGTCATGCCAGGAGGGCCCTAAACCCTAAACCCTAAATCCTAAACATTAAACCCTAAACCCTAAATCCTAAACCCTAAACCCTAAACCTTAAACCCTAAACCCTAAACCCTAGAAGCTGCGAGGCGTGTCTGCGTTTCTGCCCATAGTCCCAGCACATTCCTCTGGGGCAAACGCCTCCGAGGATGTGGAGCTGCTCAAGGGGGTGAGCCTGATCCGAAACAACCCCAAACCGGAAGCCCTAAACCCTAAACCCTAAACCCTAAACCCTAAACCCTAAACCCTAAACCCTAAACCCTAAACCCTAAACCCTAAACCCTAAACCCTAAACTAAACCCTAAACCCTAAACCCTAAACCCTAAACCCTAAACCCTAAACCCTAAACCCTAAACCCTAAACCCTAAACCCTAAACCCTAAACCCTACACCCTAAACCCTAAACCCTAAACCCTAATTTAACCCTGAACCAAACCCTGATGAAACTCTAAACTTTAAACCCTAAACCCTAAATCCTAAACCCTAAGCCCTAAGCCTTAAACCCTAAACCCTGACCCGAAAACGACCAGATTGTGCAAAAACTCTTCGCGGAAGCAGTCGTATTCATCCTCTCACCGAACCTGCGTGCAGGGTCTGCTTTGTGGTTTTTCCGCTTAGGGCTTGGGGTCTTATAGAGTCTACTGCTTGGCCCTAAGCCCTAGACCCTAAACCCTTAATGTTTAGGGGCTCAGTTAGAGAAACCTGGAAGTTGCCGATGGTGGCCATAGCAGTTCGCGCGTACTGGCACTGGCTCAAGCGAACCCCCCATGAGCTGTGAGCTTTGCAAGATTAGGATTGCATCTTGCAAGCAGGCAGACCAGCAGGTTTAGGACAATTTCAGGCGGGTAGTTTTCTGCACATATGGTCCTTCTAGAACCCTGAGTGCCGTACATACCCCCATGCATTCATAAAGCTTTTCATGGCCTAGCAGCCTAGTATACCTGGGAAGTCCCCCCTCCTGAAGCTGTCCTGAACCAGGGGATACTTTCGTAGCCTCTACCCTTCCAGACAGCGCTTGGGCAATGCCCAGTTTTCGCGCAGATTTCCGGACGCATCCCAGTACGTTAGCCCGAAATTCTCAACTACTGACGCCTGTAGCTCTCATTCTCAAGAGCTGAGTAGCAAGGACCCATCGAGTTGCAAGTAGGTCTAACCCATACATCTCTAATATAGAGAGCTTGTGCCTTCGTAGCCTATGCACTGCATAAGAGTGTCCGCAGCAGTTGAGGTAGCTGAGCCTAAATTCCTTACCTAGAGGCTCCTGATGTAGTACCTTCCTTGGTGTAGTATACTCGAACCCCCTATTGGGTGCAAGAGGGTAATGTTTGAGGGGTGTAAGGGCCATGCTAGAGTAACTAACATCTAGGGGCAGCTATGGTGCCTTATTATGGCCCCCTACAAAACAGGCTTCTGAAGCATGGGCCCTTGGGTTTATAGGGCATATAAGGGTTCCCCAATTAAATTAAGGGCCCATAATTAGGGTTTAGGGTTTAGGGCTTAGGGTTTAGGGTTTAGGGTTTAGGGTTTCGGGTTTAGGGTTTAGGGTTTAGGGTTTAGGGCGTGCCAGACGGGAGCGCGCTTTGGGAGCGCGCGGTAGTCTGCAGACCTACCCACCCCAAGACCGCCCACTTACAACTCTCAAGGAGTTAAGACCTTTTATTTTTTTACAAAGCATCACATGAGTCAGCACTCACACCCTTTTTGGGGATTTCCACAAGGTGCGTGGACCAGGCGCAAAGCTGCAGCAGGCGGAAACGAGGCAGGGTCCGTGAAGACAGCTTGGGTTGGCGCGAAGGGGCTAAGGGATGGGCCAGGAACAGAGAAAGGCAGCGAGGCTTGGTTGGCGCGAAGGGGCTCCAGCCAGGAAGAACACACAGTGAACAGCTTCAAAAAAACCACGAAAACAGGGCTGGTAGCTTGGCTTGGCGCGAACGGGGTAAGGTGGGGTGCCGAACCAGGGTCAGGACCAGGCACAAAGTTTGCAGCAAACGGAAGCGAGGCAGGACAGATTGGGTTGGTGCGAAGGGGCTAAGGCCAGGGAGAGCCCCGAAACAGGACACAAACTGGTGCGCGGACAGCTTGGCTTGGCGCAAGGGGGTAAGACCAGAGGCCAGGGTCAGCGCCACAAAATCAGGGAGGCCAGGGCCAGGGCCAGGAGGGCCAGGGCCAGGGCCAAGGGCCAGGGCCAGGCAGGGCCAGGGCCAGGGTGAGGGCCAGGGCCAGGGCCAGGGCCAGGGCCAGGGCCAGCAGGCCAGGGCCAGCAGGCCAGGGCCAGACCAGAAAGGCAATCCAGGGCCAGGGCCAGGGCCAGGGCCAGGGCCAGGGCCAGGGCCAGGCAGGGCCAGGCAAGCCCAGAGCCAAACCCAGCCAAACCCAGGACCACATCCAGGGCCATGGCCAACACCAGGGCCAGGGCCAGGGCCAGGGAAAGGGCCAGGGCCCCTGGCCCAACAAAACGGCCCCTGGTCCAGCGGACGGGGGTGATGGACCAGGGGTCTCAAGGGGCCGTCCCAGGGGGCCCTCCAGTGCAGGACCCAACCGTGTGCGCGGACAGCTTGGGGTTTAGGGTACTATAATATAATACAGTGACAACTGCTGACTCGGCCTGTGCCTGCCTGGAGGGTAAGCCAGCCTGGAGGCCAGCTCGGTCGCCCGCCTGGGGCTCCCTCGCAGGGTCTCACTGAGCGCTCGACCAGCGCCCGCCTACCCCAAAAGACAAGAGAGTGGGGTGGCGGGCGGGTTTAGGGTTCAGGGCTTGGGGTCCTCTTCTTGTGGCGGGAAGCGCAGCAGGCGCTGAGACCCGACTGAACTCTGAACTCTAAACCCTAAACCCTAAACCCTAAACCCTAAACCCTAAACGAACTCTAAACCCCAACCGTCTGACCACTCCGTCTGGGGGTTGGGCCTGCGAAAGCATCCTTGTTTTTACACTGGCCGCTCTGCCGTCGACATTCAAAGAGAACAACTTTCCTCGGGCGCCCCAAGCCCTGTGCTACTGTAGGTGGCTTATAGGAATCTTGTAAAGGGTTTAGGGTTTAGGGTTTAGGGTTCAGGGTTTAGAGTTTAGGGTTTAGGGTTTAGGGTTTGAAAGCAGAC